GTAATGCAGTCTAATGCAGTCTAATGCATGCCAATGCAGTCTAATGCAGTCTAATGCATGCCAATGCAGTCTAATGCAGCCTAATGCAGTCCAATGCAGTCTAATGCAGTCTAATGCAGTCTAATGCATGCCAATGCAGTCTAATGCATGCCAATGGAGGGTAATGCAGTCTAATGCAGCCTAATGCAGTCTAATGCAGTCTAATGCAATCCAATGCATGCCAATGCAGTCTAATGCAGGGTAATGCAGTCCAATGCAGTCTAATGCAGGGTAATGCAGTCTAATGCAGGGTAATGCAGTCTAATGCAGTCTAATGCAGGGTAATGCAGTCTAATGCAGTCTAATGCATGCTAATGCAGTCTAATGCAGGGTAATGCCGTCTAATGCAGTCTAATGCAGGGTAGTGCAGTCTAATGCAGTCTAATGCACTCTTATGCAGTGTAATGCAGTCTAATGCAGGGTAATGCAGTCTAATGCAGGGTAATGCAGTCTAATGCAGTCTAATGCAGGGTAATGCAGTCTAATGCAGTCTAATGCAGTCTAACGCAGTCTAATGCATGCCAATGCAGTCTAATGCAGGGTAATGCAGTCTAATGCAGTCTAATGCAGCCTAATGCAGTCTAATGCAGTCTAATGCAGTCTAATGCATGCCAATGCAGTCTAATGCAGGGTAATGCAGTCCAATGCAGTCTAATGCAGGGTAATGCAGTCTAATGCAGGGTAATGCAGTCTAATGCAATCTAATGCATGCCAATGCAGTCTAATGCAGTCTAATGCAGCCTAATGCAGTCTAATGCAGTGTAATGCAGGGTAATGCAGTCTAATGCATGCTAATGCAGTCTAATGCAGGGTAATGCCGTCTAATGTAGTCTAATGCAGGGTAATGCAGTCTAATGCACTCTGATGCAGTCTAATGCAGTCTAATGCAGGGTAATGCACCCTAATGCAGTCTAATGCAGTCTAATGCAGTCGAATGCAGGGTAATGCAGTCTAATGCAGTCTAATGCAGTCTAATGCAGTCTAATGCAGTCTAATGCAGCCTGATGCAGTCTAATGCAGTCTAATGCAGTCTAATGCAGTGTAATACAGTGTAGTGCAGGGTAATGTAGTTTAATGTAGCCTAATGTAGTCTAATGTAGTCTAATGTAGCCTAATGTAGTCTAATGTAGTCTAATGTAGCCTAATGTAGTCTAATGTAGTCTAATGTAGTCTAATGTAGTCTAATGTAGCCTAATGTAGCCTAATGTAGTACTAATGCAGTACCAAAGATGAAAGATGATCACATTGCTTGTTTGCCTCATGCCTGTTTATTAGGCAAGAATAGCCTGCCGGCCCGGAAGCAGTCCATTGTGGTAGGCCGAAATACGCCAAAACGATCGGGATTTCATCTGCCTTATATATATATATATATATATATATATATATATATATATATATATATATATATACTTAAAGATTAGGACTGCTGCCTCGCTCGCTCGCTACGGCAGCAATGATCAAGGTCTGCATGATTTTGAAAAAAGAATGGTTAAAATTGTTTGGCAGTTTCAATGACGACACAAAAGAACTATTCTCAAATCTGTTGATGTTTCTACAACACGTCAATGAAACACCAAATTTCAAAGGTAGTATTCGATACAAAGCCAAGTGCCTGGGGGAAAATCTTTCAAAGTTTGAAACTGTGTTAGTGGCATTTACTTATATTCAAATCTTTGATATCACCACACCAGTGTCGGACTATCTGCAGACACCTGGATTAGATGTTTTTCAAGCATGGAGAATGATGAACGAAGCAACGGACAAACCAAGCACGATCACCATAGAGATTTCCTTACTATCTACCAGCATGCGTTTATCAATGGAGTTAATGATAAATTATCCGAAGAAGGCATTCGTTTGACAACCAACCTACCAGAAATTCGCGCAAAGTACTGAACAAAGTACGAGTACAAAGTACTGAAAAATTTTTTCAGATAAATTGTCATAATGTTATCCTGGGTACGGTGGTCCTAATCATCAGAAGCCGATTCTCTGATCACAAAGAACTATATATATATATATATATATATATATATATAACGAGATTGCGTGCTTTGGTCCTAACAGGTTTAAGGAAGTAAAACCACACCCAGAGATGATCAATCTAACCATGATAGCTGAAGCTTTGCCTTAAGTAGACACGGTCTCCTTAAAAGAAGAGCTCTGACTTATCCTTTGCTTCAAACTACCATCAACTGAAACAAGGCTTGTTACCAGGAAATGATGATGATCTCATCGACTTATAATTCAATTCACATATAATTTTAAATAAGCAAAGAAAATAATATTTAAAAAAAATACAAACACTTGTACATGGGCCCGGATATTCCTGACCGAGGCCCGGAATGTTACCAGTCCGCCCCTGCGTAGAAACACATTTTTTATACCTGATAAAATTTCTTTTGTCCTTTGAGAAGTTGTCTGTGCAGATGTTTCCTTCTTCCCACTGTGCGTTCATCTTCTCAGAAAGATCATTTGCGTATTCAGTGTACCTTTCCTTGGCTTCGGGCGTGTGGCTATACACAAAACCATTCTGGTGCTTCTCGAAAATTGTTGCATATATATCTGAATGAACAGAGAGTACACTATATATATTGAAACTGACGTTGTATATGTCCGTATAGACATTCAAGTAGCAGGGGTGGAAAAAATATTTTATTTTCTGGGACCGCAGAAAAAAATGGGAAAATTTTCTGCGAGTTGTTGACAAATCCTGTATAATTTTAAAAGTCCCACCCCTAGGCAAACAAATTGGGTCTATATCCCCAGCCACGGGCAATAATATTGATTGTTTAGTAAAAGTTGATTTGCAAGTTATAATTTATGCCTATGGACAATATATCAATGCGAAGCACAGGAGGCCCAGGCTCGATTTGCCCGCGCCCGCCTGTGCCTTCCTTATAACGAGGGAAGGAAGGAAACATTGAGACCAAAATAGCCCAGACTTGGCATATGTCATACGAAACTATCCTCGATTTTTCGGCTTTAATGCATTTCTTTCACGATTAATCGACATCCCCTGCAAGAATGATACCGTATAACTCTCAAAACAATGATGCTTCAATCAAAGAGCTTAAATTCGCTCTGAAGTCCGTGAGGGAATAACAAAATTCGGCCAAAATATATCCGTGTGCCGGGTTTGCTGGACAAAAAGCGGAAGCCGTTGAACAACTCAAAATACACTCAACCCTGATTGGACGACGAATATCAACAAACATTTCAAATTTTTCTCCACTGGGAGGGGAGACAGTACTTGGAACAGTACTGTAATAATTTGATTATTTGAATCAAAACAATTCACAAATGTTATAAAGTCTACTACAAGTCGATTATATATTTATATGTGTTACTGTAAATATAACTGTAAATATAACTATAATTTTACGCTGAAACATCTTGTCAAATAGGGTAAATTATTATCCGTATTTACTGACTAAACTTCTTAAATTTAAATAATTAGATTTGCACTGGTTTTCCCCCGACAACATATGTTAATTGTTTTGATTCAAATTTATATTACATTACTGACTACTGAAAATTTGAAATGTTTGTTGATTTCCATTGTGCAATCAGCAATCGTCCACAAAATATATTGAGACTTTTTAAATCAATCCCCTCCCCCCTTATTTCAATGTTGAAACCTACTGTACTTGTCCAAAACGAACATAAGGTGACACTAGCACCGCAGCTGTGTCACTGGCAGTTGAAATTTTACATATGATGTTGGAATAAAACTATATTGTAGTGCCTAACAACATTGAAATCGGGGGAGGGGGTTTGTCTCAAATATTTTGTGGACGATTGTCTGAAAATTGGGGAAAATCGAGCGCAGGTTTTGGCTATTTATTGCATAATATTTTCTTTGGCAGCGCTTATGTTAATGTATACGAACAAAATTTGCATAACATATTTGGACTACATAGTATACATGCCGATATACAAGTATTATATTATGCGACAGTTTGTCCAAGTTAAGTTAAAATCCATACCTTACCGGCATCTAACGTTCCTTCGCAAGCTTGCCTTCGATTCGAAAAAGATATATCGATAATGGAGAATGAATATCATGCAACCATCACAAATCAAGATTTTTCTATTTTAAAGTACTATGTAAATTCAAGAACAACGCCAACATGTAAACAACCTCGTTCCCAAACTGGAAATTAGCCATTCAGATTAGTTTAATTAATGTATATGCATGGGCTACCTGTTTTCGCTCCAAATTCAAATTTTAACAACGCGTTACCACGCGTTACCATACGTGTTACCACTAATATCAAACAGTTATTATTGCTACAATAAAACTTCCGCAATAAAAGTTCATTTCTAATGGTTCAAAACTACAAGATCGATATGCAAGTAATGACTAACAACGCGTTACCATGAGTTGCGCACGCGTTACCACGCGTTACCATCTTTTATTTAAAAAACTACTATATACATTTTATTAAAAACTTGACGGTAACGCGTGGTAACGCGTTGCTTTATCAACAAAATACCATAATGAATAGAATTACTAGGCATTAACGCGTATGGTTAACTCAGATACCGCATGGAAATGCCTTGTTTTAGTAATAGAAAAGCCAAATAGACAATTAGTACATAGTAACGCGTATGGTAACGCGTGGTAACGCGTGGTAACGCGTGGTAATGTGTTCTGTTCGTAATAGAAAATCCATATTATAAAACAATTAGTACATGGTAACCCATGTGGCAATGCGTGGTAACACGTTGCTTTAGTAATTTATATTTCAAAAGCCATATTAAACATTAGTTTATGGTAACTTGAATAAATTAAAACTTTGACCCCACCAAGTCATCAAAAATTAATTAAAAAATGCTTATAGTTTCATCAACATTCAATTATCCATTAATTAACTTGAGTAACTAAAGTATTATTAATCCATGTGAAGTTATAGGACTTAATCTAAGAACTATGCAGGTTAATTCTCTAACTTAACGGACCGATCCAAGGATGTACGCTACAGCCATCCC